TTTACTTTTGATGTTAAATAATGTGCAAATTTGGGAGTGTGTCATCCCGAATCATCATGGCATCGGCTCTCAGAATGACTGTGGACGTGTTTTTAGTCCCACATTAAAAACAAGCAGTGTTTGCAAAAGAGGGTCTGTGGCCTATTCTATTAATCATGCAGTTATGACAGAAAAGAGATTTTTAAATTAAACTTTATTTTACCACCATAAGAAAAGTAAATTCACATTACCAAAACAGAAAATAAACATGAAAATCTATATCCCACTACCCTGCCCTGTTGATTTTCAACCTGTTGATCTTCCTGGAAGACCACACCTTACCCATGCCATTCCTAAGAAACGGTTGTTCAAATTCTTTCTAACCTTTCAGACATTGCTCAATTATTCCAACATCTGTAAAACTTCTCTCTTTGTAAGAGGAAGTCGATCATTGGTATCAGAACCATCAGGAAGCCATAGCAGTAGCCCATGAAAGATAACAAAATCTGAGTTAGGTAATAGATGTGGTGGAAAGCAAGTATTTCAGAGACACTCGGAGGTTGCTATAGACGGGAGAGAGGAAGCAAGGGGTAAGAAGAACTCATGACTGGCTCTACTGTCAATATAAAGCAATATATTTAGTAAGTAATAATGTATAAGCACATTTTTTTGTTTTGCTCAGAAGTCTTCATTCACTGACAAAATTTTCCACAGGCAGTTCGGTTTTCTGACATTGGATCTTTTGACTCACTGTGCTAAGCTTTCCAACAGCCTCCTTACACCAACTCTAAGTCTGAGCTCCAGCACCTTACTGATCCCTAATCAACTGTTTCTTTCATGCTGTGATGCAGGGGTCCTCAAACTTTTAAAACAGGGAACCAGTTCACTGTCCCTCAGACTGTTGGAGGGGCGGGCTATTGTTTAAAAAAAAAAACTATGAACAAATTCCTTTTTTTTTTTTTAAACTATAGTCTGCCCCTCCAACGGTCTGAGGGACAGTGAACTGGCCCCCCTGTTTTAAAAGTTTGAGGACCTCTGCTTGATGCCTTGAACTTTGGTGCCATTCCCTGGTTTTTCTTTTTATTAAGTGCTGAGATACTTATCTAAAAGATGGGCATTACAATTGTGGTAAGTTTTTAATAATGTGAGTGTTAAGTCCCTCTAGAGGCAAGGACATACTATGCTTGAGTAACTTTCTTTACATTCTGAATGCCTCCCCAAAAGGCATAGTTTGTAAATTTTTGTTAATGTGAAAAGGGAACATTCGGGCACCTTTTCGATCCTGCTGATGTGTAGCTATTTTTATTTTTTGTTCTTCGCTCTTTCTCTGTGCTTGTGATTCTAAAGGTGCCAGACTGACTGCCCTCGAGGCTGGTGTCCCCAATTTATCCCAAGAATAGGAAAAATATGGGAGGCAGCAAAACTGGTCGTGTCTGGGTCCAACATATTAGGCTGACCTACTCTGGAAGAATATCCTCTAAAGCATAGGGGAGAAGATGGTTTCTCATGAATACAGACGACCATCTGCTTTCATAGTTGAGAAGAGAAAACCAGTGATAACATCACCAAGCCATGGCAGTGTTTTTGGATTCAGTCAGCCATAGCCACTCATCCCCTTTTTGGGGAAAGCTAGCATGTTTTTCTCTCTTCCATCTCTACCTGTCAAAATCCCATCATTTAAGGCCAGATTTAAATCTTTCTCCACGTGATCTTTCTTGAGCCCCCTCAGATGGCGTGACTTTTCCTTCCACATTGCCAAAGCACTTTCTTTTAACACGTGTTACACATTTTTTCATGTGATTGTTGGATGTACGTAGTTTTGGAATGACCATCAAAGGAAATGATATAGTGTAAGACATGTCTGTAAAACACAGAAGCAGAACATAGCACTGGGCAAAGAGTAGATCCTTGGGATAACTGTTGAATAGATTGACTATTTCAAATCATATTTTCTCAGCCTAATTTTTAGGGCTGTGCTTTTGATATTTGCTCCCAGATTCTCATAGGTAGCTAGCAAACTCTCCATAAACAGTGAGGCTTATCCTCTTGGATTCCAGATATACTTGGGCATCTATTGCCACCTTTATCTGCGGGTAGACTTCTTTGACCAATAGAATTTAATAAGAACTATTTTTTCTCTGGTGTTCCCTCGTACCATGTTTAATGATCCTGCTTGGTATCTAGAAAGGGAAGGAGCAATATAGAAAAATAATTTTGTTGACTTGTATTTAATAAGTGTGGAATGTAAAAATACAACTTCCACAGGAATCAATTATGCTTCTGATAATCATGGATTGCTGATTCATGTGCCTCTAAACCCCAATATATTTTCTCCAGTGAAATATTGTCAAATGGTAGCATGAAACTCTCATACTTTTAGCATCCTTTTCAAGCATAGCACAGGGTTTGCTTGTTGTTTGTCTGTCCATTTTGTTTGTTTTCCAGAATAATCACAAGAATAGTGCCGTATGAAATAATTTTGTTAACATAGGCAGGAAAGTTCAAAATTTTTAAAGCATTGTTTATTATATAATAAATACAGGTATAAATTCACTCTTTGATAAAAGCTTGTAAAAAACAGTCACAAACAAATATTATACAAATTTTTTATCAAATGCCAAGAATATGGTATCAAGACTTTATAGTAATACCAACTGTAGTGTTAATAGCTTATTTTCCAAGAGTTAACTTTTTTCCCCATACTTCACATTTCTTATTCCTTAGAAAAAATTAAGATGTATACTTTGAGTTATATTTAAAAGACATATTCCGATCCTGCAACAGAATATAAAGAAATACTTTCCAGGGCCAAATGCAACCAGAGAGAATGAGAAATAAATTTACCTTCTTTCTCTCGAGTTGAAACATTTAGCCCTCCCATTTTTGAGTGTGAAATGGCTGTCAATCCAATGTGATGGAGTGCTGAAAGCAGTCTTCAGTGAGAAATCTCTCCATTATGCTCTCTAATGTCAGATCTGTGTTAATCCTGATGCATAGAACTAGCAATAGGCAATATGACATAGTGGTTAAGAACATAGATGCTAGCCGGGCTCAGTGGCTCAGCCTGTAATCCCGCGCCTTTGGGAGGCTGAGGTGAGCGGATTGCCTGAGCCCGCGGGTTTGAGACCCGCCTGGGCAACTTGGCGAGACCTCATCTCTATAATAAATCAAAAGGCCCTCGACCTGCTAAGCTCTGGCGATCCTTCCACCTCAGCCTTCCAAGTAGCTGGAACTACAGGCGTGCGCTACCACGCCAGGCAGCGGCCACTGCACTCCAGTCTGGGTGACTGAGTGAGACTCCAACTCAAAAAAAAACAAAAACATAGATGCTGAAGGTAGACTGCTTAAGTCTTGAAGTTAGTTAACCATATTTTTGTGACTCAGTTTCCCCATCTGTAAAGTAAGAATACTAACAGTACCTATACACAGATCATTATGAATATAAAATGAGTTAATATGTATAAGGCCCTAGAAAAATGACTGACATGTGAGAAATACTAGGTTTGCTGTAACTTATCTGTAAAAGCCTTCAGATTCTTGCTGACATTCCCAGTAACCTATAATTATTTGTTAGGATTTTTTTTAACTTAGTAGAAACAAAGATTAAGAAGGGAGACTAGATGTGAACTGTGAACCTGACCTCTGACTCAAGACTCCCATGATGGAGCCAGATAGACCCAGACTGCAACCAGAATAATACTGCTCACTGACATAAATATTTGTCTTAAATCATATTTTATTGTTATTATTTTAAACTTAATGTGAATTTTTAGAACCTAAACTTGTCCATATGTGGGTCTGATACCCCATTAATCAATTAAAGAATGATGGAGAGCCGGGCTCAGTGGCTCAGCCTGTAATCCCGCGCCTTTGGGGGGCTGAGGTGAGTGGATTGCCTGAGCCCGCGGGTTCGAGACCCGCCTGGGCAGCGAGACCTCATCTCTACAATAAATCAAAAAATCAGCCGGGCGTGGTGGCGCACGCCTGTAATTCCGGCTACTCGGAAGGCTGAGGCGGAAGGATCGCCGGAGCCCAGCGGGTCGAGGCTGCGGTGGCCGGGAGCGGCCACTGCACTCCAGTCTGGGCGACAGAGTGAGACTCCAACTCAAAAAAAAAAAAAAAAAAAAAAGAATGATGGAGGCCAGACACGGTGGCTCTCGTCTCTAATCCCAGCACTTTGGGAGTCTGAGGCAAGAGGATTTCTTGAGCCCAGGATTTTGAGACCAGCCTGGGCAACATGGCAAGATCTTGTCTCTACAATACATTTTTTAAAATGAGCTGGGAAGAGTGGTGTGCACCTGTAGTCCCAGCTACTTGGTAGGTTAAGGTGGAAGAATTGCCTGAGCCCAGCAGGTCAAGGCTGCGGTAGCCATGATCTTGCCTCTACACTCCAACCTGTGCTACAGAGTGAGACTCCGACTCAAAAAAACGAATGCATACATGCATAGATACAAACAAATAAATAAATGCTGGAACTTTGCAGAACGCTGTGTGGACAATGACAATCAGGACCCTGAGAGATTCAGAACCCTACTATATATGAAACCATTGTAGACTGTAGGGATATTCAAACAAGGAAGAGATTTGGAGACAATGCTCACTGAATTTTGATATCTTACAGGATGTCAAGTCCAAGAGATGAGATTTCTTTCATGAGATCCCAGAAGACAGAACTAGAACTATTAGGTAGCAGTTAGAATGAGAAGACATTATATCTCAATATGGGAAGGAACTTTTTAGAAGTCAAAGAGGGCTGGAAATAAAAGGGACTACCTTGTGATCTGCCTGTCATCTAGGGCTGGCTGCAGTGCTTTTACAACCAGAAATTTTGTGAAAGAAAGTAAAATCTAAGTTTGGATCCAGTTCCCTCACATTTTAATTGGATGCATAGAATCTCCAAGAAGAAAGACTTTTCTGGGCTGTTTTATAGATAGTGCCTTCCACTCGGAGCATCCTGGGTCCTGTTCTTCTTATAGTTTGCATGTGAGATTAGAGACAGAGCACTGGCCTCAAAATCAAGAATGCCGACTTCCAATGTTACTTTCTGTGAGACCTCTGGCAATCTTCAACTGATTCATATAAAATCCCTGCCACACCAGTCATACAGAGGATAGTGGTGGCTATACTGATGAACTTGCCCCAGAGGTAATGATGGCAGGATTGGTGGTTCCATCTCGACTGCTGACATGGATCTACTTGTCTCCACACTGGCTTCAGAAGGACCAAAATGTTCCTTGGTTTGTCCTTATTGTTCCCTTTTTTTATTTCAGGCCGCTGTGCTCGCTGTGGGGAAAATGTAGTTGGAGAAGGTACAGGATGCACTGCCATGGATCAAGTCTTCCACGTGGATTGTTTTACCTGTATCATCTGTAACAACAAGCTCCGAGGGCAGCCCTTCTATGCTGTGGAAAAGAAAGCATACTGCGAGCCCTGCTACATTGTAAGTTCCAGCTTTACTCCTCAAGTGCTTTGCAAAGATGTCTGCTTTCTTTGGCTAAATGCCTGTGACTCCAGAAAAATGTAGCCATCAAATCTTTATTTCTCCCCAGACTTCAAAGTGTGTGTGTGTGTGTGTGTGTGTGTGTGTGTGTGTGTGTGTGTGTGTGTAAATTGGCAAGTTGTAATTTTTTGTCTAATATCTTCCATTCATATGACGTCAGCAAGAGGCAATGGGGGGGGGATTGCCATTCAATTAATGGTCTACTGGGAAGAACATCAGCCTGTAGCTTTCCAGCTTGTGTGTGCAAGCTAGTGTCTTCTTCCCTGAAGTATCAGAAGGCTTTCCGAGTAGCTGAGTCACATATCTTGTTATGAGATCTCACAATGCATTTGAAGTCTCCATTTTTCAGGAAAACTTTGCGGGATCTCCGGACTTGTCAGTGTTCTTCCAAACCACTGGGACCTTTGAACTACCTCTTATCTATCCAGAATGTTTTGTACACTTCTTATCCAGCAGCTTTTCAATGATGCAAAGAGAAAAACTCTTTATTATAGAGGACCTTAAAAGGAAATGAGTAGTAATGCTGACTGAGCTAATAATTGCTTTCTTTGATTAGAGAACACAACTACATTTTAATAATATAGCTGAATGAATAAAAAATACTCAGACACATTATCTTCACCTTTTGCAAGACTGCTCAATCTACACATTAAGCTATCCTCTGATAGAGCAATTTGGTGAATAAACACAAATTTTTTTAAATCTAAAATTCTTTGCTACCTTTCTGTATGATTGTAATACCTCTGTTTAACACATTAGTAGGAAAAGTAGTACTTTTTGCAAGTCCATGAAAGGATCATGGTATGGTCCTCAGTGCTCAGTGATCTCAACATAAAAGGAACCTTGGGTGCAAAGTATTAGGAGTCACACAAAGCTTTTCAGATTCCCAAATTTCAGGCTTATTGAAGAAGTGTTTGACCTGGTTGGTATTTTCTCTTGACTTGACAGCTCTATCTCATTGCAACCCTGGGGTCTGGTCTGTAGCACGTATCTGAATGTTCATCCAAGATTAAAGCTTATTAGGATTAAATATTGTTTTGTATCTCCTAAGTTCAATTTTATTTCATTTTCTTTTCAAAGGCAACCTAATCATATGTAGCAGCATTGTAGAGCCATACAGTATTAGAGTTGGAAAAAAATGTTAAAATAATTTGCCTAACTTCTTTCTTTAGCAGTGAGAATACAGAGACACAAAAAGGAGGACAGTGACTTCGTATATTCTACCATTAGTGTCAGAGCCATGGCTATATTCAGTTATTCACACTCCTAGTCCCATATTCTATGCAGATGTTACACAGTTTGAGTTTTTCCAAAACATAGACACAATAATGCCCTGTTTATCTGGAAGGAACAATTATATATAATGGAAGTCTAGTAAACAAGAACTTAACTCTTTAGGGCATACAAATATTTAAGATAGCATCCTTTGAAATCTTTATTGAAAAGAAAAAGGCATTACATAATTCCTTGCCTTTTTAGACAGATCATACAGGCTGTCATTCACAATGACCTAGGGCCACCACTATAATATTATGTATTGCCATGAGCTCTATGGCAGTATATTATATTACATCAGAAGCGTCTATAGAGGTCTCTGGGGCTGTTTGTCCTTACCCTGAAAAAATACATACTGTTGAGTTTTTTTAATCACTCTTGTGTCTATTTTTCCTTCCTTTTTTGACTACATTCTTAATTTCTTACTGTTTTACTGATGCTCCCATGGCAGCCTTCTTCAGTTTCTTTTGTTTTTTTTTTTTGTTTGTTTTTTTTATCCCTTATGAGCTAGAAATCTTATAAACAATATTGGGAATTAATATAACAGAGTGGGGAGAATATGAGTTTGAGTTTGTTTCCATCACTTAATGCTTTCTCTCCTTGGGAAAATTATTTAATCTTTCTAAACCTATTTCCTCATCTATATAATGGGATTCATTGCAGTTATTTTTTTTCCCAAAGATTCATGAAGAAGAAATATGGTAATCCTTATAAAGCACACTTGAACTGTTAAGGAAACAGTAGTGGAATAAATGTTATTCTGGGAATAACTCCAATAAGATTTCTGGACCTATTTAATATTTCTGAATGTGAGAAACTTATATGTGCAAATTCACTGGGCTTTAGGAAATTATTATAACCTCTCAGTATTGCTCCTCTTTCATGTTTAAATGTTTGCTTGCTTTTCTGAATATGTAATAAGACTGAAAAAAATGTAATCTGACTAAATAATAGGTTTCTACATGGTGTAAACTCAAGTTTCTATCTCTGTTCCAGTTGTAGTATCTCTGTGATTCTGTAGTGTGCCAGCCCCTTCCACTTTGGTTTTCTATTACTATACTACATTTATGACAAGGAAAACTATCTGTGAGATATTTAATCACATACTTAGAAGAGTTGGGTGAATGCAAATAACAGAAATTCTTACCTTCCTTTTTGACTTCTTTTCCTCTTAAAAACATTTAATCACGATTTTTCTATAATGAGATCTATTCATGGAGACTCTAAAATGTAATTTAGTTCTTATCAGAATTCAGTTAAGTTTTACTCAAAGACCCTTGTTCAGTTTGATTCCAGAGTTCCGCCCAGCCCTCAGCTCTCAGATGGATGTATTAGAACTTTAATTTCTTTTTCAACTTTCATTAAGTCCAATAAGCTGTACATGTTAGAAATGCAAAGAAGTTGAGGAGGCAAATAAAATAAAACGAGTTTGTTCTGAAGATAGAGTTTGAATAAAGGACAACCCTGGCACCATGTGTGTGTGAGTGTGTGTTTTAGAACCTTAGAACAGGAAGCACATTCTACATTCTATGTGATCTGGCAAAATTTCCTTTTGTTATATTGTTAATATCATGTCTAAAAGATATTTTGCACAAAGCAGGGAAAGCCTAGCCCTATTAGCCATCAGTCACTTTTGTTTTCATTGGTGGAATCAGAATATTGAAGATAGTGGCTTAGTTAATTATCTCTATGTCAGGACCACCCTTGTTTTTGATACTCTGAGTCCAGAAATGAGACTATACTAATATATATTAAATTTATTTCTGCCTAAATTGTTTGTTGGTCAATTTAAGATCCTATTTAAATTAAATATTTACATAATTTGAAGGAAAAATGCACCAGTGATATCTTCAGTTTGGGTTAAATGATTAATATTTTCCTGACAGTCTCTTGAAGACTTAAACCTTGAGCATAAGTAGCTGTGATTAAACCAGTTTGACTCAATATAGTATTATAATTCTTGTTAATCATTTTACACATGTTTGTTTTCTATTTTGTATTGATTAACCAAATATAAATATGCATATAGTTTTCCATTGTTAATCATCTTCACTTTTAGCTTTTTATCTGTTTAGTTTTACATTTTGTTTAAGCTCTTTATTTTAAAACAATCTGCCACTCAGAAGGTATTGCGTATTTTCCAGTTTTTTAGTATTGTAAATAACATGCCTATAGATAACTGAGTAAAATTTGGGATTTTTTTGTGTTTGTTTGTTTTGAATTACATCCTTAGTATAAATTCTTTGATTTATATCACCATGTCTAGTTTAAGGTAATTTGGAGGACTTTTGCTTTACCTTAGATTTCTTTAGAAAAATTTTCTAATTTACAGAGCCATCAGCAATAATGAAGCTATATGTTAAACTATAACCTATCCCCTATGGGAGAGATTTATTTATATTTTTTAAAAAATTTAGTAAGTGCATTATGTCGTAGTTATTTTAAGTTTATATAATTATTAGCAAAATCAGTGAGATGCTTTTCTACTTTGGTGTTATATCTCTGGAAAGCTTAGTTTTGGTTATTCTTACAGACTAGAATAAATGAACAGATTAAAACTGAGATCACTAAAACTTCCTTGGGAAGCGAATTGATATAAATAGAATATATTTATTCTAATCCTAGCTTTCCTGGTGTGACCTTGGGTAAGTCATTTCACTTCTGAGTGCCAATGTCCTTGTTTATTAAAGGGAGATACTAACTTCTTTCCTGTCTTTAGATGTAGGAAATGAATACATATGATATTTTGTATGTCAGAAAAGTATTTACTAATATAAGGGTTTAATCTGATTAATCACAATTTTATCGTTCCTTTTTTTTCCCTTAGCATAATGCGATGCAATATAGAAACCCTCTAAATTTGGGGCAATTTCCTGGCTGTAGTTGCTATGGAAATTGTGAAATAAATAGATGCCATAGAAGGAATATGAGGACATATATGAGAAGAAGAGGTTCATGCTTTGCCTAAGAAGATTTTTATGTCGGTATGAGTATGAAGGGCAGCAGCAATGCTTCCCACTTGTGTGTCCTTCTACCCTTAATGAGACAGGCTTACTCATAAGTATAGATTTAGCAAAAAAAAAAAATACTGTTTTCTTCCTAGCATTGCCAAGAAGTCTGGTCCTAAGGACACAGTGCTTCAGAAATTCTCAGCAAAATTCTGTTTATGAAATGGCAGCCAAGGATCCTCCCCTAAACCAAGGCTCTTACTCAGAGTGGATGGAATCCAGCTCTAACTCTCCAACAGTGGAAGTTGGTACAGATATTTTTATTAGAATTGAAATCCAAGTGATTAAAGGGCTTCTGGAAATAGGAGGCCAACTCTGCAGGAGACTAAACACTTTAAGGTACCTGAACTTGGCGCATTAGTGGCCAACACACCAGCAGCCTTTTGCTCCCTTATGTCACTAAATGACTACAGTTAAAACATTTTAACTTTTCAGCCTACATTAAGAGATAGGTTTTTGTACCTCTACAGGAAAGCTGTCTTTTTATATACTCGATTCCTCTTAATAAAATGTTTTAAAAGCACTTATGGCCAGTTCTTTATGTGATTATTGGAAAAGGAACCAAGACTTTGGACGAAACTTGAAAAATTCACATGAACTTTCCTCTTTCTCTTTCTTTAATTGCCACACCTCTGCTCCCTCATCTACAAGGGGTGT